CAAACTAGCGAGCGAATATGCGAATGGGCGAATGAACGGATGAAGCGATGTGGATTGGAGAAGGCTAATGAGCCAACTCCAAGAGATGGATCATGACTAAGAATATGTAGTCAGACAAATATAAGACAGACATGCAACATTAACTCCTAATTTACAATCATATTTTATTATTGAGAAATGATTAGATTTGTAGTTTCTCTCTCTTCACTTTAAATGCAGTAATTGATTTTTATGAAAATGCTGTTCAATTATTCCAACACAACTACGTCAGTCTGATTGTCACAGATAGTTTAACATGGATGGTAGGTCAATATTTTAATTACGCCGAACTTGATAAATTCACTCAATATAGTAAACATGAAATTTGATTATACCATTTCTATATATTTTTTGAAATTACCAGTCAATCACTGTTGGATCACCATTAGAAACCTGGAAGCACTGGACGGCCGTTTCGTCCTGGTATGGGATTCATCAACAGTGCGCATCCACGCCTCATGCATCTCGCAGGATTCGAACCCGGGACCTTCGGTATTCTACGTGAATGCCTAACATTTGAACCACGATGTTGAAATTGACCTCTTCACATTCTTAGCTGATGACAGAGAAATTGACTGAAAATATTTGTAATATTTTCCTAGTTTGTTGTAAAATATGATACAAATACAGTGCAGTTGAAAATATTGAATTCATCCGTCACAAACCTAGTTAATAAATGATTTATATGTTGGAGGCATTCAAAGCAACTACTTGCTTACTTACTTACTTACTTACAGCAGTTACTCCTAATGAACAACTTTCTCCTACCTACTGTGTCCTCAGCCTTCCTTTTCATTTCTATTCAAACGCCATTCATTCTTCACAAGTCTGTCCCCGTTCCTCAGTGCATAATGTTCCTTCCAACTGAAGCCCTTCTACGATATTGCTGGTCCTAAGCTCGGATAAATGAGGAGGGTTGGGCATGAAGCTATTGTGTTTACACAATAGAAAACTAACTTGCTCAACAGACGCTACCCGAAATAAATGATTCTTGACAACAACAGTAAGAGTAAAATCGTTACTAGTTTATTAGTCAAAATAGGCATAATCTTTGGATATGTGCTGGTGATATGAACTTGTGATTTCATTTCAATTTATACAGACCTGAGTTTGGGATCGTGGATGAACATTTCTGATCACTTTCATATTAAATAAAAGCATCCATCCAGCGCTTTCAGTTTTCAAATGATGGTCCAACAAGGATCGATCCATTATTTCAATGAAAAAAATTATAATTAGGATTCCAACCGAGACACGTTTCGTAATCATGAGAATACGTAACAGTAAAAAACTGAAAAAGAGATAGTGGGTGAACAGTTAACGAAACAGACTGTATGTTACATTGAAGCGTGAAATGTAAGCACGTATCAAGTTGGTGGTATCTGTGGATAAACAATTCTAGGAATGTCTCCGTAATGTGTCCATTTGCATTATGTTTATGTGATAGTCTTCAGAATTGTTGTAATTTTGAAGCAGATATACCTTGACTACTGAAATCTTATTTTAGTAGACGTTATATTTTGCATGTATATGTTATTTGATTTCAATGTGTTCATTTAATCGTTGATTTAAATATGATGCTTATCACATAACAAAGGACTAATAAAAAGCTCTATATACATTGAAAATCTATCTGAAACAATCTAAGAATAGTTATTCACAGTTGGTAAACGTAATCTAATTCATTCCCTGTGCTCTAGATATCGTACTCTGACAGTATCGCAATCTAAATACTGACAAATTGATGAGAATAAATGGAAAAGTTAATGCTTACTTCAACATTCTCATTTTCACAAATCGTATTTACGTTTATTTCTTAAAATTTATTATTTCAAGTATATATTGTGACACTTTTTTTAACCTTTTATGCCTAAGTTGAGCATTTGTTAATCATTAACTCATACAGAATCTAGCCAACGTTAGAAATCTTACCCTGTCTAAATGATCTCAAGTGACTAACTGTTCAAAATTTGAATACTTCCACCAAACACAAGTTTTGAATCGGAATATCCTAAATTACGTATGTAATTCAAACTGGTCTCCTTCAACATTCTCAGACTAATGCAGGTCCGAATATAGATATGGTTGTCTATGTCTATGGAGAGTCTGATCATTGATGTCTGGTCTATTCGAACCCTGATTCGTAACTTCTGTGATGTACTGCAGATTGAATATCTATCTGTCACTCTGAAAGCTGATTTCGCATGTGTTTTCACGGAGTCCTCGTGACGTCTACGTCTGTTCTTGCTAGCGTTTAGCGTTGCACTGTATTTTAGAGATGAAGCAGCACAAATTGAACCAAACAGAAACTTGAATTCACAGGTTAGGAACCTAGAAGGTGAGGAGGGTCCTCAGGGTTGCGAAGAAGGAATTGTTGGTTGTACATTAGCTAAATGTGATCATCCACTGCATTTTGCACAGATTACAGCCTGTTTCTGACTGGCATTGACTATCGACACTGTCGCCGCCAGTATGCTACCTAATGTCCTCTCTCTGAATATCAAGCCTGTATTCAGATTGTTCATATAGCGATCAACTAATGATTATTTGCTAGTGTACAGGAGTGCTTCGCCTTTTGTAGTACTTATCTAGACTCCGATCATGCACCTGTTTGTCCTAGTATCATCTTAAGTTTCAGTGGCCAACAAATTCATTGTCCTAAAAGGCTCGATGTCAGTAAAGTGGTATTAGCTTCTGCTGCAACTATATATCAAACCGTGCTAAGTTCGGACCTAGCTACCGACGCACCAGAAACTTTAGGTAAGCACTGGCTACTGTTACATAGGGATATGAAAAAGGCTAATAAAATCACTTACTACTTGTCAGAACATCCCGCCTTTGAACACTGTGTTTCTACAGGCTACTCACAACTCGCGTAAATCCTTCTGTCTACTCTGAGTAACCACAAGCTTAACGATAAAAGAAGACTGTTACGTTTTCAAGTAGTGCATAGTGTGCGTAAGCACAGGAATTCTCTTCGGACACATTGGAGCCACTGGCAGCAAGAAGTATGGTGTGAGTGAAACAATGTGTAACATCCGCCGGAGTCTTGGAAGATGGATAGAGTTTTTCGAGCTCGTCTGCTACCCAAGCAACATCGATCAGACTATTCTGTCTTCCATTACCAGTGACGACTGGTCCACCTAACGATGTGGAATCCTAACTCTTGAAGCGCTACAAATCACCAGGCGTAGATGATATATCTCTAGCCGTTTTTTTATAGATAAAGGGGACTTTCTTACTGAGAAATTGGCCAAGTTGTTTTGATCATTAATCGTAGAATCAGTTAGTGGTTATCTTCGCTTTTAAAAAGATTCACGTCATCTGTGTAACAACTGTCAGAGGGATAAATCTACTACAGATTGAATCCAAATTAATTCCCTTCTATCATGCTTCGTAAAGTGCTCAGATCCGAGAAAGATGAACTCGTGAGGTGCAAACTGGGATTTTTATGGCCGAGGTAGCTTTTATCATATCTTGAACCTCCGCCAAACGGTGACCATCGCCATAGTTCTGTTTCTCGACTTCAGGGAGGACTTCAAGTTATTGGACAGAACTGTCCTCTAAAATTGTCTTTTAAAGAAGGGTGTGCCTGAAACGATTATCAACACGGTAAAGGCCTTATATAGACAAATTCAGGTACAAAGATGTAATATAACTGTCGCTCTCCAATAATCATCCAAGCAGTAAGGTTGGACAGGGCTCACCAATCTTACCATTCCTCTCCAGTTTTGCCATCAATGTCGTTTCTGAAGCAGCTCCTAAGGATGGTGACAATGTTGGTGTGAACCAGTTACCTGGTTTTCAACCTTGCATATGAGGATGATAGTGTCTTATTGTGTGAAGATTCCCAAACTATGTAATCCTCATATCATCAGTTGGCAATCAGTGTCACAAAGTATGGAATGCGCTTTGCACCTTCTAAGTGTAAAATACTTTTACAAAGCTGGCTGAACTTTGAACGCTCACTTACTAATGGTATCGAGCAGATAGAAGTAGTAGAGAAAAATTCTTGTGTCTGGGTGGCCAAATAAGTGGTGGTTGTTATATGAGTGGAGCAATCAATTCACAAAAAGTGAAATCCAGATCGGTTTAAATAAATCTTGGCCATGTTTGCTGCCTTAACGATGCAAGTCTGGCTGAAATAGGTATGGTCTAAAACGCGTTAGTGAAAGCGATTTCGCTCTGTACACGGAAAACCTGGCCTCTATGAATTAACTATGTTAAGCAACTTTAATAGTAAGAATTATTTCAGATTGTACTTTCCTTTTATGAATTTGTTTCTCCTCAATAATATTTCACTCTCACACTCATTTCTATTTACTCACCGCTCTTACATTATCTATTCTTACTTACATACTTACAACTGTTACCCCCAGTGGATCATAGGCCAACAAACAGCACTCTTCAATCTTCTTTACAAACTAAATTAGTTTTCTCTCTCTATCTCTTTACGCTATTCACAATTATCATCTTCTGTATATTTGAATTTCTATTCAATTGACCTTGATTAAATGTTCATATCAAATGGCTTCGAAAGTGTACTTCCTTGTGTGTGTGTGTGTGTGTGTGTGTCTGACCAAATTGTCTGAAATCACTGGTGCCAATACACATCAACCCAAGTATTTTTTTATTTCAAAATATAAACTACATCTTCTCAATTACATCTTATCGGAATTTAAAAAAAACCGAAACGAATTACTTCGAATAAACAAAAATTTTACATTCAATAACATTGATCATAAAAGGAATGTATACAATTCGGAATAATTTGTTTGTTTTTATTCTAATGATGAATAGTAAGTAGTGTGAGTTATGACAAACAGAGAACAGATTAAAAAGATATTAATAAGATTTATTAATTACCATTAATAATGAGTACAAAATATATAAAATAATGAAATTAACCACAAATAATCAAGCTAACCATCGATATGAATATTATCATTGACTATGAACAATCAAAAGGTATTCGTCAGTAGTTGCATTTCCAATGGTTTCACAATTTCCATTGGTCTATCCATATAAATTCTGGCTATGTGATTTGACAACTCAATGTTGTTTTTTAATGGTTTCTGTATAATATTCATACTATCCATCAATGAATCTGCAGATTCACGTGGACGATTGACATTTCGAGTTGGATTAGTGTGAGTATTGATCGGAGCAAAACAGTTGGTGATGTTCTAAGATAAAAAAATAAGAAAGATGGAGTTTGAAATCAGTTATCGTTCATAGGATATTCATCCAATATCCTAAGAGAATTGTTGGTCAATTCCTATTGGTTCATTCCTATTGGTCAATTTTATGGTCGTCCTAGATATGTATGTCACGTGTTCCAATGTTGTTTCTCATTGGTTGTCCTGAATATCAGTGTTACTTCGAATGTTGCTTCCTATTGGTCGTCTTAACTGTCAATGTCACAAACTTCGATGCTGTTTCCTATTCGACCGAAATGTATAAATACGCATGATCTGTAATGTTTTATGACCACGACCAGTACCAGGACCCGGTCCCGGATCCCTAGTCCGGGATCCTGATTCGGACATCGTACTTTCTGAATGCTTGTAGAATACAGGTTCTACTTCATATCAAGTCTTCTTATTTTTACTCAATTTGGGGGTTGGGATAATCGGATTTGAGTAGCATGTCGTGTCACCGGATCCTCGATCCTTGCTCTCGATTTCCGACTAGGTGAATTCGTAATAGTTCAAGTATATCAACTTGACATGTTTACGTGCAGGCGTAACACACTGTGTGATATGAATGAAAATCTGTGGAGAAATGTAACATGTTTATTTCACTGAAGAATAAATTAAAGTTAAATAGTTGATGATATCTCTTTATAGGTCCAATATGCGATAAGAGAGCTGCTATTTTACTCGGGACATGAAGAAGAAAATACCTCACAAACACACACACACACAAGGAGTTGCACTGATGCTGTTAAAACAAGCAGAAAAGGCACTGATAGAATGGAAATCACATGGACCCAGGATCATCAAAGCATCCTTCATAACAAAGAAAGAGGGTATTACGAATATAACGGGGACGAGAGACTTTAGTCAATCATATAGAACGGCCCATCAAATGACTTGATCATTCTGATGGGTAGCAACGTTAGAATGCACTATATGAAGACATCATTGGACGATATGAATTGGGAGAAAGAAATGAAGAGCTGTGTAACAGGTGGTGCAGAGCACTTTGAGCAACTGTGAATCGACCTGCCCTACTGAGCCGACCTAACATTGAGTCAACTTCCACGGACCTCTCAATCAATGTTGGCCTATCAACAGTTGAAGAGATTAGTATGGCCATCAGACAAATCAAGAGCGGCGAAGCAGCGTGATCAAGCACCTAACACCTGAGGCACTGAATCCAGATGTAACTGCAAATGCCATGAAACTCAATATTTTCTTCAGAATGGTTTGGGATAAAGAGCAAGTACTAACAGATTGGAAAGTAGGACGAAATACAAAGAAAGGCGATCTTAGCAAGCGTGAAAAATACAAAGACAACATTCTTCAATCAGTAGCAGGGAAAATTTGTAACAGAGTTTTCGTAAACAGACTAAAAGTTTCAGTAGACGCCCAACTTCAAGATCCACTTGTGGACTTCGTATGCATCGATCATAGAGCGACCAGATGGCAATATTATGAATCATTGTCGAACCATCAAAAGGATGAAACTCACCACTCTGCACCAACTATATTGACGATGAGAAAGCCTTAGACAATGTGGATAGAAGGACACTATGCAGGTTTATTCGACACTACAGCGTGCTTGAGGAGATAGTCATAGTCATTTGTAATTCTAATGATGAAGTAAACTGCGAAATCCTGTGTGGAGGACAGCTGACAGTCTGGTTCGAGGTGAAGACTGGTGTCCCGTAAGGTTTTTTACTCTCACTTACTCTTTCTGCTAGTGACCGACTGGATTACGAAGACGGCCCGAAACGAAGGGAGATAAATGAATTGTGTACAGCAGAAGCTAATGTAATGCTATTAATCTCATTTAAAGACTAATCTGCACATACAAAAACAGCGTATTCCGTCCCTCATTCTTCCATGATCTTTCCATTCAATTCTCCCATACTCCAAGAGTGTTTCGTTTGTTTATTCGTTTCTTAGTTTTTAGATCATTAATTCTAAATCTTACCATTTATTTATTCAACCTATTAAATAACCACTCTTACAAGTGCAGATCACCCAACGAAGATGATTTGTTTAAATAGTCACGACCATGATTGAATTCAACGGAAATCGTGTGATCTCCTAGACCACTTCAAATTCATGCTCCACGATTTATTGCTTATCAGACATTATGGTATCACCACGATAATCAGATGACTGGCTAGAACATTTAGTCTACTCAAAATAAGTAACCGAATATATGCATACCATCAGTTTTAACTGAATTACAAGGTGAAATGAAGCCCTATCTCATTCCCCTGTTCATAGCATTGGTTTGATGAATGTCAGTTGATTGTCTTTAACCTTAACGAGAATCTCTAAACGGCTAGACATACATCGACCAACTAGTCGAATGATTTGATTAGTAACCAGTGTCATTTCACTAGCCCTAAACAACTTTCATTTGTTCTGCTCTCGATAGACATCAATTGGGCGACGATCTTCATCGCAACACCTTTGACTAGCCGAATAACACATAAACTTTCGATTCACAATAGAAACAAATAAAGTGTATGCAAGCGGGAGTTGTGGATGCGCACTGCTGATCAGTTCCATACCACAACGAAACGGCTGTATCTCAGTGCTTCCAGGTTTCTAATGCTGGTCTAACATTGATCGATTTTAATGGTGTCTCAGTAACTGAACACTCTCCACAACCACATAACCAGAATTCAATAATATTTAGAATTAATAGAAAGTTTATACAGACAAATCATGAATCTCTTACCGCTACACCACACTCTCCTCTCAACCATAATAACCTGTTAATATCATGACTGTCGGTACATCTTCTGGCTCTTGGGCACCAGTAACATTTCGAATGAAATACTCCTGGTTTCAGGCAGTCACTGCATGATGTTTGATCGGAGCAAACTTCAACAACAGAAAATGACCATTAGAGAACTTTGTTACAGTCTATAAAAGGAATATGTACTACTACACGTGTGGTAAAGTAAAAAATTACAGACTGTTTACATAATTTTGAAATTAACCGTAAACTATGATTGTTTTTTCTGCGTAACAAAAAAGATGTCATCTTTTTTCAAAAGAAACTATTGTGTCGCTTAACAGACAGTCATAAGTCTGAGCAGAAAAGTCAGTAAGATGCAGCGTAGAACTTTGTACATAAGTACATCAGTTCATGTCCCCATACCACATCAGCACAGAGATATAATTGTCAATTCAAATCCAATAGTAGAAGAGGTAGTAAAGGTATTATGAGTAATCGGAGAGGTTAGGATTAGAAGATATTATTCAAGAAGTATGATTCAGTGAGAAAAGTTTAGAAAGTCAAAACTAGAGTTGTTGAAGAACCCAGAAGATTAGGATTTAAGAGAACACAAAGAATAAATGCACCGGCGCCATGGCGAACGATTTTGAGCCATGTCATTCAAGGTCTCTAACCATCGATTATTTTTATCTCGCGGACCCCAACCAGGTAGTCGACAATTACCGACATGACTCAGTCCACTAGTCAATGACTTCATGGATTTCTGTCATGTTTTGGTTTGGCCGCCCCTAATTTTCTTTCAACCTATTCCTACACTACAAAACAAGGCTCGACGAGGCAGTCGGTGGTTGGGCATACGCAGCACATGTCCCAACCACCTCAACTGATGAAGTGTCACTGTGGTGCTGTGGTGCGAACTACTTATAAGTAGTATATAACGTGAGTGTCAACGTAATGTCTGGTAGCATAATATGGGAGGAAGATCAAGAAAGGAAGAGTTAGAAAACAATGGAACTTGTATGAAACCCATGAATAGTGACAATGGATTGATGTTTGGCATCAGGAACAGTCCAGTTCCATAGGATGAACTGATCTTTTACAAATGAACGATTTACGATATGGTTTTCCGATTTTACTGACTAACTCTGTAATTTTCGTTAAATACAATTCGGTTGCCCCCACCTGTGTTCTCATTCACTACATTTGGTGTCGCTGCCTGCTCGAAGGAAGGGGCTCCCGTGACCGAAGGAGTTGCAGGACGGAGATTGGCGGAGCTTCCTAGGGGAGTTTGGGGCCACGGTGGAGCTGGTGGGGGCCTGGGGCGGAGTTGACGGTGCTGGGGATGCTGCGGGGAGGTGAGGCGAAGGCGGTACACGATAGCCTGGACGGTGCCACCGAGGAGACGGCGTGGGAGACGGTCACCGGGCGGCTGATAATGGAGCTCGACAGCCCAGCGGACAGGGGGGAGGCGCCGCAGAGGTTCCGGTTGGCGCAGCTGTCGGCCGATGGTGACCTGTTGGTGCTTGCTGTGGAGCTCACCAGATTGCGCCGTGAGGAGTGGACGGGGCACAGTCTTTGGCGTCGCAATTTATCGAGTGTGTGCCTGCCGCCGTGTTCCAGCATCGGGAACTTGTAAACGCTACACGTTGGGTAGATGCCGTATCCATTCCAGACCAGTGATCAAGAACGATGACCGAAGTGGTAATCCGGCATATTGTAGCGTGTCACGGAATACGGAAGGTGATATTAACTGACCAGGGGCTCTGTTTTGAAGGACTACGACGACAGCTTATTAAAAGGGGGGACGAGTGTGGTGCTGTGGTGCGAACTACTTATAAGTAGTATATAACGTGAGTGTCAACGTAATGTCTGGTAGCATAATATGGGAGGAAGATCAAGAAAGGAAGAGTTAGAAAACAATGGAATTTGTATGAAACCCATGAATAGTGACAATGGATTGATGTTTGGCATCAGGAACAGTCCAGTTCCATAGGATGAACTGATCTTTTACAAATGAACGATTTACGATATGGTTTTCCGATTTTACTGACTAACTCTGTAATTTTCGTTAAATACAATTCGGTTGCCCCCACCTGTGTTCTCATTCACTACATCACTACTGCGTCTATTGATCTGCCATTCTTACCTAGCAACAGATTCCTAATAACAGCGTTGCTCATTCGGGTGTCCCACGATATACGAGCAATGCTTCGAAGACACCTATGATCGAAAACCAGTAACCTACGAACATCTTCTACTCTCACTGGCCATGTTTCACAGCCATAAAGTAAGACGGAGCGAACCACTGTGCAGTACACTCGTCCTTTAGTCAGCAAACGGACATCTCGCCTTCGATATAAGTGACGCAGGTTGGCAAAAGCCAATCGAGCCTACTGTATCCGTGCCGAGATTTCGTCAGTCACCAGGCCATCAGCACTGATGAGACTCCCAAGAAAAGTGAAGCGGTCTACTCACTCGACTACTTCACTCCCTATCACTAGTTCAGGTGCCGATGAAACCCAATCTTGAAGCAACATTTTGCATTTCGAGGGGGAAAACCGCATCCCGAACATGCTTGCGTTATTGCTTAGGGTAGTCAGAAGACTCTGCATTTTGTCAGCATCTTCACCAAGTAGGACAATGTCATCGGCATATTCTAAGTCAGTTAGCGAGCCACCTGGTAGAAGGTCTACTCCTGAAAATTCAGACCAGGATAAGGTTATTTCTAGGAGCATGTCTATGATAAAATTAAACAAAAATGGAGAAAGTGGACATCCCTGACGGACACCACTTGAAGTAGAGAATTCCGGTGACTGTTCGCCATAAGCCCTTACTCGACCAGTAGTGTTCGAGTAAAGAGCTTGTATGAGGTTAGTGTACTTCTTTGGTACACCTTTCAATGACAGACACTGCCACAGAACCGAACGATCCACTGAGTCGAATGCCGCCTTAAGGTCCAGGAAAGCAACTATTGTAGGACGCCTAAATGTGTGTCTATGTTCCAGAACCTGTCGTAGTGTGAAGACGTGGTCTATACAGCCACGTCCAGGTCGAAAACCAGCCTGGTTTTCTCGAGTCTGAGCATAAAAGAGAAATATGTTGCCAAATATTTTGATCACAATGAATGAATAGTGAAAACAGCTTCATTAAATACCAAAATACTAAAAACATCTCCACAATTCTAATTATTGCAAGTCATTTACGCTATGAAATATTTGAGCTTCAAGGTAGAACAATCATAAAACATATGCACCGTTTACCAACTACCAGTTCAAAACGAAACTCTATGCCATTTCTGATTCAACCACTGCCCTAATAACAGTTGTATCACACTGTTCGTTTCAAAGTAATTGCTGAAGGGTTAGATGTATACATATCGATTGCATGAATCTGTAATTTTTCATGCTCACAATGGGAGTAATCATTGTGCGCTTACATTGTTGTCTAATTTTTGTTGTACACGTTCTTTATGCTGTGAAATTTCAATCTTAGTTTATTCACATGAGTAAAAGCAAAGGAATGTCTTCCTTATCGATGATATCATTTAGTTGGGTTGCACAATTGTATTTGCAGGTAATTTTTCATGTGATAATCAACAGTGAAGTGGAAACGTTTGACAAAATTATCAAAGACACTTAAACTTATGGTGCAGATTGGTTTTCTCCAGCTGGGTGATTTAAGTGGTGGAGATTTCATTGTTCTTCTGAACAGTAACTTCATCAGTATCAACTTCAAGTAGAAGTGAAGTATTCGAATTCTCCAACATATTACTCTTTCCCCCCAGCATGTCCTGTTGACCTTCGTCATGAAAGGTTATGGATGACCTTCACCCTGTCAAATTCGATCCAGTGTCAGACTCATTCACAACCCCACAAGCGGAATTCGAATCCAATGTCTACACAGTCTTGCAACGAAGTCTTAAGCTTTCGACGATGGGCTCGGTATTCAACAGTGTAAATGCTTAACATCAATCAATCCACGATATTTTGTGATCATTTTTATTTGACTATAGTGAGTAATGATCTGACATCCGATATTGATTAAGCTTCAATGGTTAGGGTTTCTCACCAGGATAAAAGAGTGGTCCAGTGCATTCAAGTTATCAATCATGGTCTAACATTGATCGATTCAGCATTTCAATGAAACTCAACAATCACCACAATCCTATACAGATAATAACAACTTACTTGGATCCGGTATGAATTCCATCAAAGTATTCGATTTTATTAAAGATGCTGGCACTTGTATCAAACTTTTTTTGAATGTAGGTATATACTCGTAATCTGAAGAAAATTTAACCAAACAAAAGAATGTGTTTAAGTACTGAATTGTTCGAATTTAAGGGGAGAATTCATGCAAAAAATAACTACACATTACTTTAAAACTCATGCATAGTTAATTCTTTTGATTGTGACGACTAATTAACCATCAATCAGAATACTGGTTTCTACTTAATGGATGGATGTTAGTTATTTTATAACTAATTGTAGTTAAGTCATAACTAACCAATCAGATTGTGGTTTAAGCGCCCACCACCTGATCTGACCTGACGTGTCTGTAAACCTTCTTTGTTATAAATGACCTAGAAATTGATTGTTATTCTTGTTATTATATTGATGTGACTCATAACTGTACTCATTAGCATAAGACACGCTATATTGGTCGGTACGTTTGATCGTCTTACTTGATGATAATTGTAATTTCCTCAATTATTGTACTAATCTAATTGTTTTTATGTTTAGAAACAGATAAAGTTTATAGCAAAGTTGATCTTGTTTTAACTATAGCTTCCCGCATAGACTCTGTGCTCGCCGATATTGATTGCGTTTATAGTTCTAGAAGTTCATATGTAGGACAAATTAAATCCTTCAATGGTAACAAGCAATCCGTCCTTTTATTCTCTCTAGACAAGTCGAATGGGAAACTTTAGCTAAATCAGCTTACAATCTCGATTCAGAGTGAATAAAATGTAACGCACTGCTGATATTTTCTACGTTCTTTGTTAGTTAACATCATGTGAAATATTCATATCCCTAGTCGGATTTTATCAATCACATGTCAGATGGAGTCATTTTACTGTCGTCAGTAAAATTGCTTTGTTATGCATTATTCAATGTTATATTTGTCAAAGAATTTAGAAAATCTGATAGAAGTTAACTCATGCAAAAAGATGGAATAAACATTCACTGATGATTTTGAAAACAGAAGAGATTGAGAGGAAAAAAGATTATTTTAAAAATATGAATGAATAGAACAACATTCTAGATTGTAGATTAAAGTTTTAAATTTATCTGAGTCGATTCAAAGCGACTACATGTTGCGTTCAATGGTATGTACGAAAGCCATTTGAATTGCTGAATAGCTAAGATGTTTATAAACTAAAGAAATTCTTTCAATCCTACTGAAATATAACATTTTACAATCTGTGCTGATGTCATTTCCATGACAGTTTCTATTAGTATGGGTTATTGTCAATGAATATGCTTTCATACATCCTGCATACATGTATAGGAGATTTAAAGCAAATAGTCACATTTCGAAAAAATTTCATCAAACCAGGAGAAGACTTAGTTGATCTTATACAATCTTTCGATGAATTCCCACTATACATTTTGATCAGACTGAGAAGAGAAGTGTTTATATCTGTCTATCGTTAACATGGGGAATCAAACACTGTGATTGTGAAACACGGAGTACAATCAGCCATGGAGAAAGACTTACTATCATCCTAAACTAGTTGCGATTGATTCTATCACTCCACATCGCACCAGCAATTGCGTCACATCCCATCGCATTCATCGTCTTACATGTTTGCGTGGATATACATACATGGAGGGGAGTAACCGGACAATGCAACCAAGGGTTATGGGAGATGTATTTAGATAACTTCTAAACCAGTTAATGTCAAATAACCCGATAAACATGGAAAATAGAAAATCATATTCATAGATAGTAAAACACACAATCAGTACGGAGCATAGGATTGATATAAATGTAGCTTGCAAAACGTTTAAATAATGATATGACTGAAATAAATTCAACTCACTTTGAATTTGCATTGGGTAATATGTATTAGCATCTTTGGGCACAGATTTTTGTGTCTGATCGCTAATTATTTCACTTGGTATCTGGAAAATTCGAATATATATATATATATATATATATATATATATATATATATATAAAGAATAAAATATTTTAATGAACGAATTATCTCGGTTTAGTGACACAATGCTGTTTGGCGAACTATTCACTATTAGGGGTAGTAGGAGTAAGTAAGTAAGTAAGTAAGTAAGTAAGTAAGTAAGTAAGTAAGTAAGTAAGTAAGTAAGTAAGTAAGTAAGTAAGTAAGTAAGTAAGTAAGTAATCCTAACACTTATGAATGAACAGTGTCACTACAATGCAGGTATATCCAGCTGACGAGTCTCAAGTTGGATGAAACAGACGCCGTGAATTCCTACTCAAGACTTTCAGTCTTCTGCGCGAACGCTGAACCCATGGACTACTGAGCAAGTGGCATCTAGATGTGTTAATGTCGAACTCTGTTCAATCTAAGGATTTTCGAACAACTTCACCCATTTATCTTCGTTAGTTACTGCCTACACCCAACGGGGTTGAACTCCATTGGTAATGATTTCTCATTAAAACTCTGAAAATCTCCTCATGGAGATCGTGCATGCTCACTTCTAATTAGTTTGGTACTAGGACTGATCTAAGGATGGTTGAATCATGATTGAGCCGAAGAATATTTATCGATTTATGTAATCAATACTGTTAGCGTTTATTTGTATGTAAAATTAGGTTTATTGTTTGTTATTAATAATGATTTTCAAATGATTTTAGTCTAAACTTTAGCTAAATTATACTGAAATGAAAGGATATAAGACATATTCATCTAGCATAAATCCCTCTCATGATAAGACACTTTCACAGTGTAGAGTTTATCAGTTTTTATAAACTTAAATTCTGTAATACTTTGGTGATAAGGATGAGGTTGAATTGAACAGAAGATTACAGCTAATAATTTAAACGTGATTGTTACTATTATTATTATTACTACTACTAGTTAACTCCGCCTGTAGGCTATCTGGGGTTACTGCCTGTCGTAAGCCCGGATTAAGGAAGATAGTTAAGTGCGGGGTTGGCAAATCCATCCTGTCGAAAACTAACTCGCTGAAAAAAAACCATTTTATCTCTGCCCCGGGAGTCAAAAGGTCTTCTTTCAGAAGAGTTATGAGCTCTCATGATGAAAGCCGAGTTACTTCGGGAGTCACGAGGCAGATACCCATTTTTACAAACAGGGTAACCATTCTTTTAGGTACACTGAGTGTTCGTACAATGTGAGAGACCGGGAGAATATTCCGAATTGCTGAAGAGATGAAAAGACACAACCTGGAGCTGCCTGAAATCAGTGAAACGCATTGGACACAGGTTGGACCACTGAAAACTGCATCAGGAGAGCTGCTGGAGAAGAAAATGCCTCACATAGATAAGCAGTTGCACTGATGCTATCCATACAGGTAGAAAAGGCACTAATAGGATGGTAAGCTCATGAACCGAGGATCATCGAAGCACAGTTGGAAACAGGGTAAGAGGGGATTACAGTGAACGTCATCCGATGCTATGTGCCTACCAACGATTACAATGAAGACGCTTGAGATCAATTCTACGAGAGGCTGCAGTCAACTAGTAAGCATTCTCCAACAAAGTACTTGATTATTCTGATGGCAGAAATAAACGCCAAAGTTGGGCCACAAGAATCACCGTCAAATTGAATAGATTTCTACGGATACTCTGAGTTAATCTTTTGGAAAGCGGTATCAGAAAGACAGCATTCCGCACCAACCGAACGGGAGCAGAAAAGGTCAATTCACAAGCTAAACATACGGAAGCAAACAAGCAAGTGAAGAGGAGCACCAAAGATGACGCACGTAAACATGAGGAAGATGTTTCAACGATGGCGGAAAAGGCTGGAAGAGAAGGAAACTTGAGACAATTGTGTGATGTTACAAAGCAGCTCTCTTGAAAATATCGTAGACCAGGACGAACAGTGAAATCAAGGAAGGCACAGTAATCAGAAGCAATGAAGAACAGTGCCACTGGTAGGTAGAGAATTTTAAGGAGCACTCAACCGACCCAACATCGAAATAGGATCCACGGATCTCTCAATCAATGTTCACAGTTCACAGGCCTAGAACAAATCACTTGTCAGCTGACCATCAACCTTCTCAATCAATTATCTACGAATCCAACTCACTACCTTCAACAAGTTTCATCTATTGATGCATTGAATAGAGAAAGTTGAATCAACTGACAGACTAACACAGATAACTCAGTTTCCTGTTGTTGCTAAACTGAAACTAAGATCATTACTATTATTATTATTATTATTATTATTATAATAATAATAATAGTAATAATCATAGTTTCAGTTTAGCAACAACAGGAAAACTGAGTTATCTGTGTTAGTCGTGTCAGTTGATTCACTTTCTCTATTCAATGCATCAATAGATGAAACTTGTTGAAGGTAGTGAGTTGGATTCGTAGATAATTGATTGAGTAAGGTTGATGGTCAGCTGACAAGTGATTTGTTCTAGGCCTGTGAACTGTGAACATTGATTGAGAGATCCGTGGATCCTATTTCGATGTGGGTCGGGTGAGTGCTCCTTAAAATTCTCTACCTACCAGTGGCACTGTTCTTCATTGCTTTCTGATTACTGTGCCCTTCCTTGATTTCACTGTTCGTCCTGGTCTACGGATATTTCAAGAGAGCTGCTTTGTAACCATCACGACAATTGTCTCAAGTTTCCTTCTCTTCCAGCCTTTTCCCGCCATCGTTGAAACATCTTCCTTCATGTTTACGTGCGTCATCTTTGGTGCTCCTCTTCACTTGCTTGTTTGCTTCCGTATGTTTAGCTTGTGAATTGACCTTTTCTGCTCCCGTTCGGTTGGTGCGGAATGCTGTCTTTCTGATACCGCTTTCCAAAAGATTAACTCAGAGTATCCGTAGAAATCTATTCAATTTGACGGTGATTCTTGTGGCCCAACTTTGGCGTTTATTTCTGCCATCAGAATAATCAAGTACTTTGTTGGAGAAGGCTTACTAGTTGACTGCAGCCTCTCGTAGAATTGATCTCAAGCGTCTTCATTGTAATCGTTGGTAGGCACATAGCATCGGATGACGTTCACTGTAATCCCCTCTTACCCTGTTTCCAACTGTGCTTCGATGATCCTCGGTTCATGAGCTTACCATCCTATTAGTGCCTTTTTCTACCTGTATGGATAGCATCAGTGCAACTGCTTATCTATGTGAGGCATTTTTCTTCTCCGCAGCTCTCCTGATGCAGTTTTCAGTGGTCCAACCTGTGTCCAATGCGTTTCACTGATTTCAGGCAGCTCCAGGTTGTGTCTTTTCATCTCTTCAGCAATTCGGAATATTCTCCCGGTCCTCTCACATTGTACGAACACTCAGTGTACCTAAAAGAATGGTTACCCTGTTTGTAAAAAATGGGTATCTGCCTCGTGACTCCCGAAGTAACTTCGGCTTTCATCATGAGAGCTCAATAACTCTTCTGAAAGAAGACCTTTTGACTCCACGGGGCAGAGATAAAATGGTTTTTTTTCAGCGAGTTAGTTTTCGACAGGATGGATTTGCCAACCCCGCACTTAACTATCTTCCCTTAATCCGGGCTTACGACAGGCAGTAACCCCAGATAGCCTACACGGCGGAGTTAACTAGTAGTAGTAATAATAATCATAGTAACAATCACGTTTAAATTATTAGCTGTAATCTTCTGTTCAATTCAACCTCATCCTTATCACCAAAGTATTACAGAATTTAAGTTTATAAAAACTGATAAACTCTACACTGTGAAAGTGTCTTATCATGAGAGGGATTTATGCTAGATGAATATGTCTTATATCCTTTTCATTTCAGTATAATTTAGCTAAAGTTTAGACTAAAATCATTTGAAAATCATTATTAATAACAAACAATAAACCTAATTTTACATACAAATAAACGCTAACAGTATTGATTACATAAATCGATAAATATTCTTCGGCTCAATCATTGATTCAACCATCCTTAGATCAGTCCCTAGTACCAAACTAATTAGAAGTGGAGCATGCACGATCTCCATGAGGAGATTTTCAGAGTTTTAATGAGAAATCATTACCAATGGAGTTCAAACCCCGTTGGGTTGTAGGCAGTAACTAACGAAGATAAATGGGTGAAGTTGTTCGAAAATCCTTAGATTGAACAGAGTTCGACATTAACACATCTAGATGCCACTTGCTCAGTAGTCCCATGGGTTCAGCGTTCGCGCAGAAGACTGAAAGTCTTGAGTAGGAATTTCACGGGCGTCTGTTTCATCCAACTTGAGACTCGTCAGCTGGATATACCTGCATTGTAGTGACACTGTTCATTCATAAGTGTTAGGATTACTTACTTACTTACTTACTTACTTACTTACTTACTTACTTACTTTACTTACTTACTACTTACTTACTTACTTACTTACTTACTTACTTACTTACTCACTACTACCCTAATAGTGAATAGTTCGCCAAACAGCATTGTGTCACTAAACCGAGATAATTCGTTCATTAAAATATTTTATTCTTTATATATATACTAGAGATAATATATATAATATATATATATATAGATATTCGAATTTTTCCAGATACCACGTGAAATAATTAGGCGATCAGACACAAAAATCTGTGCCAAAAGATGCTAATACATATTACCCAATGCAAATTCAAAGTGAGTTGAATTTATTTCAGTCATATCATTATTTAAACGTTTTTGCAAGCTACATTTATATCAATCCTATGCTCCCGTACTGATTGTGTGTTTTACTATCTATGAATAGTGATTTTCTATTTTCCATGTTTATCGGGTTATTTGACATTAACTGGTTTAGAAGTTATCTAAATACATCTCCCATAACCTTGGTTGCATTGTCCGGTTACTCCCCTCCATGTATGTATATCCACGCAAACATGTAAGACGATGAATGCGATGGGATGTGACGCAATGCTGGTGCGATGT